GGCGGGGCCCAGGGTGACGGTGCTCAGGGAGGCCGCCCCGCGGGACACCAGGCGCGGCAGCCCCTCGCCCAGGCCCGGCGGCGCCCCCTCCAGGCCGAAGCCGTTCTCCTTGATGTACTCGTCGATGATCTCTGCGGGAGAAGCAGAAAGTGGGCGCGACGCTGACTCCAAAAGAAAAGCCTTGGGGACCCCCGAGCCCTGGCCCGCCGCGCCTTTTCCAATCCATCCATTTCTTCAAGACATATTTTTTGTGCGCCCAGGGCAGGGGCCTCAGCTCCCAACATAAAAAAGCCCCTGCTCTCCTTCTCGCAAACAGCCCCCCAGCATCCCGCTATTCGTGAAGCCAGAAACCTGGGGCGGCCTGGTCTCCTTCTCCTGCACCCGCTCATCCACTCCCCTGCGTCATAGCTCCCGAATCCACGCCTCCAACACCTCCCATGTGGATAAAGGCCATAGCAGGTGCGGCTGCTTCCATCTTGCCCCGATTAATAATAACAAGACCAATAGCTTGTTATTCATCTCAGAAAGCAGCACCACCAGCCACCTTCCACAAAGTGCTCGAGCTGGCAGGGTGCACGTCTCTGTCAGATGCTCAGGATCCCATATCTGCTGTGTCTGATCCATGAACTTCTGCCTCTACCTCGAATATATATGTACGTTCCCACCGCTTCTCCCCACCCTGGTCCCCCTCCATCGCCTTCCATCTGAACCACTGCTCCTGTTCCCAACCTCACCTCTTCCAGTCTGTTCCCCCCATGCAGCCAGAGGGATCTTACGTCAGACCCTGTCCCCGGACTGCTCAGAAGCCTCCGGTGGCTCCCATCTCCCTTAGAGTCCAAGTCAACGCCCTCCCCAAACTCCATTCATCTCAGAAAAACAAAACCCAAACAAAACCCCACACCTCTGGCCAGGGAGCCTTGCATGGACTGGCCCCCGCTGTCCCAGCCTGCCCCTCGCCGGGCCTCTCTCTCCCGCTCCAGCCTCCTTTCTGTTGCTTTTGCACCCACCCAGCCCGGCCCTCTTCAGGGTGCTGTACCTGCTCCCCCATCTGCCTGTTGCACACTTCCCCCCATTCAACCCATGCTGGCTCCTTCTCAGCCTTCCCGTCTCGACTCAAATGTCGCCTCTTCAGAAAGGCCCAATCTAACGTGTCTTCCCCAGGCCATCTCTCCCTCTTCCTGTTTATTTCCTTAACAGCCCTTAGCCCAAACTAACACGATCTGTTCATTTACTCCTTTTCCTACTGTCTCCACCACTGGCGTATCAGCCCTCGGTTCATGACTGAATCCCCAGTGCCTAGAAGAGTGCCGGGCACGGGACAGGTGTGCAGTGCAGTCCACTGAAGGAACGAACAACAGCCATAGTAACAGTGACACTAAAGGCAGCTGACATATGCCATCTTTGCTAAGTGTCCAGCACTGCTAAGCACCCTGGGAACGTGACTTTGTTAAAATCCCCCAACAGTCCCGAAGTCAAGCTGTGACGGCTCCTCCCCAACAAGGAAGGCCAAGACTCCCCTCTGTGAGCCCCTGGACTCCTCAGCCTCCCCCCCAACCTGCCCTGTGATACTCACCCAATTCATCTGTGGAAGGAAGAGAAAGAGACAGGTGAGATCCAGAAAGTGGTCAAGATTTTCATCTTCTAAGACAGATTCCCCAACCGCATCCCCCGCTGGAACTCTCTCCGCTTCCCCCTTCCTCCAACCCGGGAAACCCGGGGCTCTGACTCGCTGGGGTGCCAACCCCCAACCCCATCTCCCCCTCCTGGGCTGCCCTCCTCTCAGCTCCCAATGTGGGGGCCCCAGGGTCAGGGCACCCCAAAATGCCTCCCCAAAACATTTAGGCCAGAGATTAGGAAGCATTGGTGAGAATCCCAGGAAAAGTCAAGGGTCTTATCACCAGGAAAAAAATGGACGCCCAAGATTCTAGGCAAAATGCGGGCATGTTCCCTTCCCTAAAGCCCACCCTAGACCCCCGGGAGGCCATTGGCTGGTGTCTGAAGATCCATGGAGGCAGATCCTCCACCTCCAGGCAGCCACCCAGTCTGCATCCCGGCCTGGTCCCCAGCAGTGCCTACCTGCCCTCCCGGACTTGCCCCCAGTTCCTGAGGGGGGAGTGCCAGCGGTGCTGGGGAAGCCCCTCATTACCTCCTCAGGGAAGTTCAGCCCTGAAAGGGGCCATGGAGAAATCGAAACCAACCTCCTGTCACTCGGTGGACAGGACAAGGGGAAGCCCAGAGGGAGCACGCAGGCCTTGAGGTCACACAGCAAGGGAGGGCAGGCCGGGGCCAGATGCCCCGCCAGGGTGGCCTGTGCTGGCTGCTGGCTATGGGCTTATTGACGCCGACCTGTCCTGCTGCCAGACCTGTCCTCCTCCTCCACTCTCGGGGAGTGGCTCCTGGCAGCCAGACCTTTGGTCCTGGGAAGGCAGTTCTCCTACACCGCTTATCTCACGCGATCTGTGAAGTCAGCAGGGTGGGGAAGACACCCTCACTTGGTGGATGGGGACATTGAGGCTGGGAGAGATGAAGGGACACCCTGCAGATACTGGCAGGGCCTACCTCAAGTCACTGCAACTTGGAAAAACCGTCTTAGGCCTCTGTGGTGGAGGCCCCGGGGACCCGAAGATGAATTAGACTTGTCTAGGCCCTCAAGGAACTCCCAGGCTGCAGGGGGAAACTGAGGCCCAGGCAGCAGTGGCTGGAGCTTTGGACTGCCTCAGTTCAAACCCTGGCTCGGCTACTTGCCAGCTCTGTGGCCTTAGGCCCATTACTTAAGCTCTTTGAGCCTTGGTTTCTTCGTCTATAAAATGGACACAGTAATAACGCCTCCCTCGTTGGGCTATTGTGGAAATTAAATGAGCTGATAATGGGAAGCACTTAGAAACCGCCACAATAGCAGGCGCTACATAAATGCTACAGTGTTAGGAGACATTTTGTTGACTTGGGTAAACCGCTTCCCCTCTTTAGGCCTCAGTTTGTCTGTCTATAAAATGAGGAGGCTGGAATGAGGAGGTTCAGAGCGTGAGGTGTGGAGTCACAAGGATGGCGGCTTGAATCCCAGCTGTCACTCACTGGCCCATCAAAACGAGGGGAAGTTTCCCTCCCACTCTATCCCATCCCCACCCTGCTATTAGATATCATTGACCCTCAGACTTCTTCATGGCCTTTATCACATTTTATAATCAATCCCACATTTCATTTATTGTTTATGTGTCTGCCTCCACATCCAGGTAGGGAACCCCAGGAAGGCAGAACCACGGCTGTCTCAGTCACTGCTGAGTCCCCAGCACTGCCCAGCACAGGGCCAGGTACACAACAGGCGCTCAATAAATATTTATTGAATGGATGACGTCAGAAATTAGTCTCAATTGAAACCAAAGATCTAAGTCTCAGGCCAGAAAAGTCTCAGCCTTGTTCCTGCCCAGAACCAGCGCCCAGGCAGTACCTGTCCCCAGTGCCATCTCCCACCTTTCACCATCGCCCAGACCTGTCAGAGAACCCGCAGAGCCTCTGCCACAGCCAAGCCAGCACTTCTGGGGCCCACCCCCTAAGATTCTCCCCCGAGAGAGAGGCTCAGACCCAGCCCACTGGGGCCCCTGAGTTTTCATGGTGATGGGACACAATCCTGCCCTCCATAATCCCAGCGGATTTATAAGAGAGAGGATCTTGTCATTTGGCCATGATTCTGCATTTCCCTGGGCAGCACTGAATTTGGGGTGGCACAGGCTGAGGGACCTTAGAGACTAGTGGTTCTCAGCATCTCTTGGGAACTTGCTAGAAATACAAACTCTCAGGGCCCATCCTAGACCTACTGAATCAGAAGCTCCAGAGGTGGGGCCCAACAATCTGTTTTAACAATCTCTCCAGGGGACTCTGATGCACACGAAGGTTTAAGAACCACTGTTATAGCCTGTCTAATAATAATAATTATTATTGTTATTATATCACTAATAGTTAAAATTTATTGAGCCTTTACTGTGTGCCTGACACTGCTTTGAAAGTTTACCTGTATCCTCTCAATCCCCCTAAAAAGGAAGCACTGATATTATGCCCATCTTATAGATGAAGAAAACTGAGGCCCAGAGAGGGGAAGTGACTTGCAGACATTCACACAGGGAGGGGGTGGTGGCATCAGCCTGTAATTATTACCTTCTGTGCTAATATGGTGATTCTTTAAAGAGAACTCCTCTTAGAGCATGAACAGGTGGTTAGTTTACCTGTCCAGCCCCTAATCACCGCCTGGGGCCCCCATCTCAACGGGCAGGGAGGGACACAGGCCGTCAGAGGAAAGCTGAGGTGGACCTAGAGAAACCTCCAAACAGAGGCGTGCCCAACGCCGCCTGTACAGGATTCCCCCGTCCCCCCTCCTAAGCGTGCAGGTGGGCAGGGACCGTGGAGGTCTGCTCACCCGTGGTCCTGGAAACGGCGAGCGAGAGCGAGGAGAGGTCAGCGGGCCCTGCAAGGAGGGAGGCACGTCTCATGAGCTGATGGAGATGCAGCGGGAGGACCAGAGAATCCCCCAAGCCCCATCCCGTTCCCCTCCTGGCTCCGCCCCTTTGAATCAGGCCCCTCCCCCTTATCGCCCACTGAGTCTGGCCTTGCTCCCTTCCCTAACCCATGGACGCGTCCCCTAGTTTGTCATTCACCCCACCTTTCATCACACTCAGGCCTCGCTCCTTCTCCCCCTTAAGATCGGGCCTGGAGGAGCCCTTGTCAACCTGTTAGGAAAGCCCCCACCTCCTTCCTTATCTCAGGGTCAGACCCTACCCCTTCACTTTTTCAGTGTCAAGCCCGTCCCCTTCTCCCTCTCAGACCCTGCCACTTCTCTTCTGAGACCAGCTACCCCGCTTCTTCTCTGAGTCAGGCCCCGCCCTTCTTTTTTCGGAACAGGCCCTCTCCTGTCTCTGCGCCAGAGCCAGGCCCCGCCCCTCCTCCCTCTCGGAGTCTGGCCCCGCCCCCTCTCGCCCTCAGGCCCCGCCCCTTACTCTGAGCCCGACCCCGCTTCCTTCTCTGAGTCAGGCCCCGCCCTCCTCTCGCTCTCAGGGTCAGGCCCCGCCCCTCCTTGGAACCAGGCCCCTCCCTTTTCGCCCTCTCGGAGTCTGGCCACGCCCCCACCCCACAGCCGCGGCTCGCGCTCCGCCTCCTCCTCGTCAGGCCCCGCCCCTCCCCTCTCGGAGTCGGACCCCGCCCCCCTCTTTGCCTCAGGGTCAGGCCCCGCCCCCTTCTCACTCTACAGTGGGACGCCTCTCTCTTACCTTGGGCCGGACCCCGTCCCCGTCCTCTGCCTCCTTCCTTCCCTCTAATACAGTGTCCCCGGAGCCCTCACACTCTCCCGGCAAAACCCCTGGAGTCCTGTAGGAACCATCAGACTCCTCCGGGACCCGCAGACGCCCGCATCTCCAGTCCCGCCCCAGAGTCCTCCTGAACCCGGGCCCCGCTTACCCAAGGCCCCCAGCTCCGCTGGGGGTCTGGCGACGCGGCGACTCGGCATGGCCCGACCGGTGGGGTCGGACGGCCCGGAGGCCGGCCCACACCAAAACACACGCGCGGGCGGGCCGGGCGGCCGG